TCTGGGCCTGCGAGTATTCTTTTCATGGACAAAATCCCAACAGAGAGACAAGAGAAAAAAAAAAAGGAAAAATGGAAAGAAAATAACATATTTTTCATTTCATTCCCTTCATATCGCTCTAGCCATTGGCAGGCGGACGGCCAAGTGAGCAACGAGCCAAAACTTTTACCATTGAAATCTCTGTCCCATGGGAGCGTTGGGCCTTAGAGCCATTAAATGGCGCATGATTAACGCTTTGCTTTACAAGACAATTGATAAAGAATAGAACAGCAGCTGCCTAACCAACGAAGAAGAAGCAGAGGAAGATACTTTAATCCGCCGGCTCAGCCGGGAGTCGAAAACAAAAGTCAATGCAGCTCTCAAAATGCTTGACTCTAAGGCAAACTAACTTTCTAATGAAGCTTGTAACAGATAGCGAGATAAATGTTTGCTCGTAAATCTATATGAACTACAATCTGTTGTACCAGAAAAACAAAATTTTTATAGCTACAACTATATCAATATATATATATATATATATATATATATATATAAAGATATATAAAGCTGTTTGTACTGACTGCCCGGTTGATTAATGGACCACATGAGCTAGGAATCTCAATTTAGTACAGTATTAACCTTCGATGACGTAAGTGAACATTAACACTTTGATATTGTTCTGCCTTAAGGTTGGATTTTTTGAGGAAAATCAATGTGTACTATGGTCCATTTTCCTTCGATCGGCTGCGGGCTTAGTTAAAGATATCTTTGTGAAAATTTTTTGGAGTCGTGTTTCAAAGTTTTCACAAGGTAACAGAAAACCTAGAATTTAATTTATAATTAATAGGCAGTAAACAAGTAAGGCATGTCTATGCAATTATGCAAGAACTTGATTGATAATAAAAATTCTTAAAACTGGGATAAAATCATAGGGTATATACAAAGCATATAATCTTTGCATCATGTCCATTAGTGTAATAAAATTATTTTAAAAATAGTGTAAGAGTGTTTTAAGTTCCGCTATATAAAAGCTGCGCCTTCTATTTCACTTGACAATTAAGCGGTGGCGGAAACGGAAACTCTCGAGCAGCCATGGAAAAAGAGCATTTAATGCAGCGTTTACATTGTTTTTGCGCCCTCGTTGTTGCCTTTTCCCGTTGTTCATTTTGTTGGTGGCGGCTTTGGCATTGTTTTTAGCCAGCTCACAAAATATGCTGCGGCTTTCGTTCTGCCTCTCATTCTCTATAGTTCTTTCTTTGTGCTGCTGCAAGCGTGTAGAATGATTAATGTGGCCCGGCACAAAACAGAGGCATTAATGGGCGGTCAGTGGAATGCGCTCCAGTCGGGCGGCTTCCATTCCAGCTACATTTTTTACGTGCTGACTTTGCGCCGGACCGCGAGGACTTCAAAAACTCTAGCAAATTGCGGCACTTAGCGTGTACGCCCCAAAAATGTATGAGATGCCTGCACGTTCAGTGCAACAATCAGCGAAACGGAGACACAAAAATTAATGCAAGCAGAGAGAGGGAGAGAGAAGAGAGTGTACAACACGGCGTATGATTAATCTGTTGTATTACACAATCTAATGGGCAGCTCGTGCAGCACTTGAAGTGAGCTGTCAGTGACGCAGCTCAAGCTGTAGCCGAGGCAACTTGGCCAACTTAATTTAAAGGCTACCAGCTCCAGTTGCTGGCTTAAATCTTTATTAATATGCATGGAGCAATAGCTCGTCCTGTTCGTCAGCGAGCACCATGAAAAATGGTTGCCATTAGGGCCAGCAAATTTGCTGCCTTGTAGCAGCAGCAGCAGCAACAACGGCAACTGCATTGATTTTGCAGCTCGTGGCTGCGGCTGTGGCTGCGTCTGCGAACACAAATTTACCCCAACCACATTCCATTTATGTTAATGATTTGGGCATTGCGAGCCGCATTAGAATTTCATGTTGCCAGCAAATTGAGGCGCATCTCCGTGAATGAGCAACCATAAATTGCGCCCTGATTGACACGACTCGATTTGGTTGCCCCGAAATGAGCTTGAATGTTATGATAAATGAATACCCAAGCCTGATATTTGCCAATGGTATGTCCCAAGATCGTCTAGTCTGAAATTATAAAACTATGCGCAGTTTGCAAGCCGTGTGCTTATAAGACATGAAGACATCTGTGACCCCATAAGACATATTTATTTTGAATCAGCATCAATGAATTTTTAATCTCAGAGTTCTATAATTCAGTAGTTTCTTGAGGTTTATAGTAAGCAGATCAATTTTCTATTCAAATATTAATATCATCTCTGTTATCCAAATTCGTAAGCAACAGACTAAAACCGCATTTTGATTTGATTATTGACTGATTATAGTCTAAATTCAAAATTACCTTTTTTGATTAAAAAAATTGGTTCAGTTCAGGCGAAACACTCCCAGACAATAGGAAATCAAAAATATTTATATAAAAAAAAACTTCCCAACACTGTCACTAGAAATACGAAATGTTTAAGTAAGTCTGTTGAGCATTTATTAGGCTGGCCTCGGACGTTACCACACAGCATGGATTTGCGTTATAATGTGGGCCGAGTGCAGACCGCATTTACACGCGAATCACGGCACCATCATCAACACAACCACCATCAGGGGCCAGGAAGCCCGGGATCTGGATCAGCAGCAGAAGCAGGACATGCCGAAACGGTGGAAACAAGGAACGCCCAAGGATGTGGACATGGGGGTCACGGCGGCTCGATGATCTTCCATTGTAGCGACAGGGAGACGATACTTTTCAAGTTCTGGACCACAGATTCCACGACATCGATTGTGCTCTCCTGCCTGGTCGTCTTTATTATGGCCATTCTATACGAGGCGCTGAAATGTTATCGGGAATGGCTGAAAAAGTGCAACAAGAAGCGTCTGGAGGGCGGTGAAAATCGTCCCCGCTCAATATTGACACAATTAAGCAGCATACCTTCGACACCCATTTCCGAGGCGGCTTTATCAATGGCCGAGCAGTTTCCACCTCCTCTGCCGGTCGCAGCGCCAACGGCACCGGAAAATTCGCGTGCCGGCCCTGCAGCGCCCTGGCTATCACCAATGCATTGGTATCAAACGTTGTTGCATATGATCCAGGTGACAATTTCATTTCTGTTGATGCTCATCTTTATGACCTTCAACGTCTGGCTCTGCATAGCCGTTGTCCTCGGCGCCGGAGTCGGCTATTATATATTTTTCGCGCGCAGCGAGAATGTTTCCGATCACTGCAATTAAGCTAACACTCTGTTCACCTTTCCTGTGCTTCCCATGTGCCCCTCTTTGTGTTGTCTGTGCTTTGTGCTAATGTATTTTTCTAATTAAACCTAGTTATAAAAATATCAGAACAAAAGTGGCTGCCAGCCGCCCAGCCTAATTGTTCATTTTTATGGCTAATAAAACAATGACTGCATCTACCAAAAGATAAAAGCAACAGTAAAAACAACATCTGCAAATTGGACAAAAAGTCTGCCCTAGCGGCCAAACGGGCGTATACGCAATCTAAGGTAAATAGAAGGACGCGGCACTAAACGACACCGGCCATTTCCTGCTATCCTGCTAATTACATAAGTAGAGCTCGAGCAGCATCTGTTTCTCTGCTCTGGCAGTGGCAGTGTATAGTCGAATTCGTTCAATTTATAAGCGCATTATCTTTGTTTTTGTGCGGTGTATCTTTAGCTTTATGGCCGTTTTACGAGCACGCCCACATACATACATAAGTAGAAAGTGGATCTGTTTGTGTCTGCCGTTTTCATAATGCCGCAATTATGAGGGTGATAAACCTTTGGCCTGGTTTACCTGCGCGCTTTCAGTGGCCATTTATCGGCGTTGGCCAACATTCAATTAATATTTTAATAAGCTGCCTTTATGCCAGTTGCCATGCGGATAACGCAATTTGGCTTTAATACGCCATGTTGCACATGAAAGCATCATCGAGTGCAATCCCCGCAACAATCGCAGTCGGAACGCAACTCAAACTGAGCCAAGCCGAATTCAGCTTTAATTATTTAAACACATGTAGACTCGTACTTATATGACGGCGTGTGTGTGCGTGCAGGCCGTAAAACTTGACCCATGCAGCTGGCCGTGCAGTGCCCAGAGCCAAAACGGAAGCGGAAATGCGTTCATGCATAGCAATTTGACTCGTCATCGAGGACGGCTGACGGACATTGTTCTTATCGAGCCACACTAATGAGCCTACACATACGCATACAGCTCTCTAAGACGATTATGAACCATTGCGATAATGAATTATGACTGTTTACTGAATGCGAAACATGACTGTTTTGCGAGAGCGTAGTTAACTGTATCCGCAGGCTGAGCTTGTAAGTTAATTATGTTCCATTTAAGGATGAAAATGCCTTGCCTAACGTGAATATGGTCTAACTTGCGTTAACTTTAACTTTTTAACAAACAAAAAATACGTCGCTTAGACTGCGTTTTCTTTATAAATCCCTCGAATGAGTAATTAGGAAAACTATTAAATATTTTTTGCTTTCCATTAGATCGCCCTCAAACTCGATTTCAAGTATCTTTGCAAAAACAATTCAATGTACAAAAGGTCAGGGTCAAGTTTGATCTACCTTAGCCCCAAATTTTAATACCTGGACTAAAGACATCGATTCCAACTTTTGTTTTATTGGACTCCAAACTCATTTTTAAAGATAGTAACTTAAAACATGCACGGGCGGCAAATGAACAGAAAATTAAGCAATATTTAAGTCCAGCTGTTAGGAACTCATAACCCATGGAACTAGACATCAAAATTGCATAAAAATCAGACTGCAATAACTGAAGATATTAAGAAACGCATTTTCTCATAGGATGGATTTAAGGAAAGATGAAGCGGAAAATGGGCAGTTAGCAGCGTGCATGTTTTTGTGCATGCATGTATACTCTCTAGCCGTGCAGTCCGGAAATAAAAAAAATAAAATATGAATATCAAGTTCGAATCATGGTTAAGTTAAGTCAAACAGTGGGCGTATGGCATTTATATATTACCATGTAAATAATAATGTCGTCAGTTTATTTTGTGCTTTATTTGGGTTTAAATACAATAACAAATTATATTATTTTGTTTCACATTTTAGTCCTGCCCCGATTAATAATTGGCGTGGTATTACAGAACTGCACATCGTTCAAGTGGGCGGGCATGTAGGCGTAATATGTGGCACTAGTTTGTGTACTTTGGTGGGTATCCATGGCCGCATGAAACACTCGGCCCATCTCTAAGAAGGATACCACAAAATGTTTTGTATATTGGTCCCAAAATTTTTTCATATTAGGACGATTCGCATTATGCGCTACAAAGCCCCCGGCTGTAACCTTGGACTTCAATGGCTCTCGGTTTGGAGTCCGCACAATGCCATGGGCCAAGATAGCTACTAGATTATCCATGAGGTGTTTGGCCTCATTGAAGCTACGCTTGCGGTCCGCTTGGCTGTAACGTTTACCATAGCGTGCACAGATCCATTCGAGAAGCATTGGTACGCAATGCACATCCGGCAGGGTAGGCAGTACGAACCGTCGATCCTGGGCCACGCGCTGCAGCCCTATGCGCAGCATATCCTTCATGAGCACATGATCATCCGCATCGAAGAAATCTCTACCAAAGTTAATGCGCTTTCCCGGCTCACTGACTTCTGTTTCGGCCTGCGACTTCGCGTATATGTCCTGAAATAGGTCGGTGCCCTCCTTGAAGATGCGCTTGGCTGTGCGATTCACAAGAGTATCTATTGAGCCACACTTACGACCATTTAACACCGCATTCAGGTAGTTCGCATCATTGTCCAGAGCTTTGATAAACTCTACCTTCAGTCGCAACTCCTGGTCGTCCAGCAATCGGTCCTGGTAGGGTGCAAAGAGCTTCTGATAGTCGAACCTGTAGGGCCGAGCATCCGGGCCCAGCTCAAAGTAATTGCTCTGACTGGTACACTGACATGGAGAAGGCTCCTGGGTCTGAGCCCTGTCCTCCTCCATGTTAGTGTCACCCAGTTGCAGGCTGGATCTTTCGCTCTGCCTGGGATCTTGCTTCTCCGGCAATCTTGCATCTCCGTCGTAAACTCGAAAGCTTTGCTCATTTTGACGCTTCTTTAATCCAACTTTCTTCGGGCTGTTGTCTCGGCAGTTGTGCGGCAAGGTTACACCGCTGTCGGACATATTGAAACCTACAACTGTATCACCAAGCCCACAGGAGGTGTCATCCATCCAATCGGCTTCGTTGTTGCCAAGGTATATGAAGCCTGGATCATTCGGATCTTCAATTAGCCCCTTTCTATTCGAGCCAACGTGCGCTTTCATGGCCATTTCATGGAACTGCGCCCGATACCGTTCCGTCATGCGATCCAGTTCGTTCAGTGTGCGCTGGCGGGTGAGCTCTCGCTGCTGGTGGTCAATATTTAGGAATTGTTCGTAACGCTGCTTTTTAATCCTCTCCAGATTTGAGTGCAGCGACTGCTCCATTTTCCCGATCAGCTTGTGCTGCAAGTTCATGGGTTTCAACTGTCTCTGACCCGACTGGGACGAGGGCAGGTTGGACAGAATCTGGTCAATCTCATTATAAAGCACAGATCTGGCAATGCGTTCACCATCGCTGCGGTTCAAGTCACCAAACCAACGTGACGTGATGGTGTAACGTACCAAATCCGGTTGCACAGTGGGAAACCGAGCCGGTCGTTTCGATGCATGGGCTATCAAGCGCTGCTGGCGGGGATTGGGCAGCACCGGCTGCTGAAAATAGGGTAACTTGTGGACTGATTTTGGATGAGGCTGCTGCGGCAACAGCTCCTTGGACTGTTTCTTCATGGACTTAATTCTCTGACTGTTTTTAAGTCTGAAACGACGGTCCGCGGCCTGGGCACGTTTCTGTCGCACTGCCGCCGAGTCATGCGGCAGTGGCAGCACACGGTCCAGCTCGTGAAGCGTCGGAAATAGATCTAGCCAAAATATGGCGGACATAATGATTTGCTCGTTGAACTGATATATGACCTTTTGATTCTCCGACTTGTAGAACATTTCCATGAGGAACCACAGAAAGGCCACATCGTTGCCCCGGCTCATCATCAAGAGTAGACGTAGGCCCCTCCTAGGCGGCCGCGGATATACGCCCAAGTGGCACAGCTGATGATGTGCCCGATGGGCGCTACCCTGCAAAATATCGTCGCCCAAGGCGCGCTTCAACCCATGTGCAGCAGCCAACTGGTTATCGGAGAGTCCACGATACCACAACGGCTGCAGGCTTCTTTTCATAGCGTTCTGTCCGATGCGATCACGTATAAGTCGATGAATATGCAGCACTTGCTGCATAGTTTGCGCATCGTCCGTTAACCCCATTTCGCTTGGATGCCAATTCAATATCACTCAATCAGTTAAACCTTTAAAGGAATCTAATTCAAAACACAGAATTTTAAAGTGCTGTCACAATTGATCAAAATGAAATAACAAACTGTATACGAACCAGGTCGGATCTTATTGGCAATGGCCTGCAGCAGCAATTCCAAAGAAGAGCACTAAATCAGGTATGTGTTATGTGTTAAGAATCTATTTAAGATATCCATTTCTATTTCAATATACTCATGACTAGATATGTCTAGGATTTCGTATGGTCGAAGGGTCTACCTTCTAAATTTAATGCTTAATTAGGAATAACTATATTTGTTTGAAAAGAGACATACATACTTGGTGGAAGATGAAATACCCTTAAATATAGTCAACTGTAGCTATAAGAAATATGAGTCCAACATAGCTTAAGTTTTGGGCATATGAGAGGAGCACCATTAAGCACGATATTTTCATTTTGTATTCTTCCTCAAAGTGTGCTTCATCTTCTTCTTACGAGGGCTTAATATCTTTCAATTGGTCCTTGTGCCATATTCGCAAACGTTTTTCCCATACCATTATTTATGTTTTCAGTTAAGAAAATCGAAATAAAGATGCCCACAAGAAAGGTAAAAGTTGTTATGGAACCCAACTCAAAGTAAGGCCCAACCAACAAATATTTTTAGACTCTACTCTTTTAATGGGCCTCTGCTTCTTGTGTGTGTGCGCGTGTGTCTGAGTGTGTCTGCTTGCTCTAGTATTTGTGACAATTTACTGGTGCTTTGCAGCCCGCAGAAGTACACCATTAATTTATTAGCAAACCAAATAGGCGACAACAATCAGGACTCAGACTCAGCAATTTGTTTGCAGGACACGCGCAGGACACACGTGTCGCCCCCGATATGTGTATATACGTATGTGTGTGTGTACAGCTTTGTTTTGTCAGGAACTGCCTGTGGTTATTTCTGGGCTGCTTGAGATTTGGTGCGTTGCTTTTGGGTCGAGAGCGTGAGTTTACAATTATCTGGGCTTAAAACGAGGACCAATAGCTAGCCAATAATTTATGACTTTCTATATTCTGCTGTCAATTAAATGCTTTGGAAAATGACAGCATTACCATTCGCAAATATCACGAGTAGCCCCATCAGGCGGCCCGAATGATTTATGCACCGCGTGGCTGACAGTTTTTGGACAACATTCATATATATCTGCGTATAGCCCGGCTCCACCCGCATCCTATTTTGTTCTCCTGTAGTCTGTGTGTGAAGTGCTTTTGCTAGTTTCCGTTTTCCCGTCACTTTCTGCCTACGCACGACACGTGGCCAACGCCTGAAGAGCTGCTTATGTTAATGACCCGAGCCCAAGCCCGTACCCCAACTCCAATCCGCATCTCCATCCGAGTCTGGACCCGGCTTATAGCCCACGCTCTACTAATGGGACAATTGGCATGTGTTTCTGCCCATTTTCATGTGTTTTGCCTTTGCCGGTGACGCGGCGCCGGGTGTGAGATCTTAATAATAGATACGCCCGTTCGCATTGTCAGGTAAACTTTATCGCAGTCAACATATATTAAGGAAATTCAAGTGGAACACAGCCTTTTCTGTGCGGCACGCTTCAGGCATGTTTAATTTTTTGTGCTTCGTCCCCTAAAGTTTTTGCAGCTTTTCTGTATGATGTGTGGCCAGGAGCGTCAGTTCAGTTTTACTGCAGTTTTTACATCCTTTTATCGGTTATTAATGTCATGCCATAAAAATGAGCAAAATATAAAAACAAATCAACCTGGTTTTGTTTGTCGAACTTCGGTTGACGATAAAAACAAAGAATCCAGCTTATGGATACGCAAATACACTAACGAACCTTGCTCACAATTGGCGTATTAATTAAATTCTATATATTTTATCTTTTAGTTTGTTGATAAAGTCGGTCTATTAATGCTAAGCGTATATGAAGTATAGAATGAGTATTTATTCATTTTAAAAATTTTTTTTTTACTGCTAGAGACAATTTCAATGACATAAAAAGTGCTAACAAATATTTTCAAATGTTGAATAGCAGAGACTCTAACCAACTGAAATAATTAAATACTTATTATGTTTTTTTTTTTTTTATTGTGTTTAAAATTAGTCTCTTAAAATGTATATTTATTAACTAGCAATGACAACCCTCAATGACACTAAAAGTTCTGCAAACTTGTTTTATCTTTTGAAAGCAGCGCTTTGAAAATTTGCCTAACAAATTCTTATTTAATACAAATTTGTTTCTAGTAGAGTCGAAGCTAGAGATTGAGCCAGCATATGCTCAGTTTTGAAATTATATTCCAATTCGAAAATCTTATAGTATGTGAAAACAATAATCTAATTTAATATTATTTAATTTGTATGAAAATCAAATTTTAGGCCCATATTTACATATCAATCATATCAACTACAATTAATTGTTACATCAAGCATTTATTTTTGTCTTGTAAATTTATTTTAATATTAATATGAATTTGTATACCTTTCCTGATTTATATATGTACATTTCTTACAATTTTAATTTTTCCTCTAAAGCTAAAGCACTTTCCAACTGATTAGTTTTTCCCATACTTATACCAGCTTCAAAGGCCCTTCATCTCTTTCACTCTAAGGCACGATTGAAGTGCTGCCAACTCTTATTTTAATCGCATACGAGTGCTTTACACTTACGAGCTAAACTGTTAAGCTCTTTTCAGTGCTGACAACTCTTAAAACCGAAATGTTAAAATGTTGCCACCGCTCTGCAATTCTGAGTGTGCTCTTATAACAAAGTGAAGCACATCACTTTTTGCGCAATTTTAATTAAAAATACCAGCGGTAAAAAAGTGTTTGGAAATGAACATCATATCATATATTGTTTTTTAATGCCTGACCGCACAGACGAATGCGACGGGGCTGAAAGGCACCAGCAATGAACATAAATATATATGACCAAGGTGGAAGGCGAAAGTGACTCACGGTCTGACTGATGGACAGATCTGTCCACCTACTTACTTGGGTCACCCTGTGCCGCAGTTACTAAACTGCTCTGATGAACTCTTGTTGTTGTTGTAGTTTTTGGTGTGCTTCAGTTATCCTGTCTGGTAGTTTGCGCCTGAACGCCTCCGTTTGTTTTCCTTAACGATTCGCGCTCCACTGACTCAGCAACATTGAAGCATTCAAAAGCCGAGTGCGCGTTCCTTTTGATAGCTAGAATAGGTTATGGTTTATGGTTTACCCATAGGCGCTGGCTGTCTGGATTTGCATTGACTTTTGGGCCAACTAAATATGGGAAATGCCGCAATCCAAGCTTATGCAAAAACAGCGCCTTGTGCCAAGGCGTTTTCATCAGCGTTTTTATAGCACCACGTGCGACCATGCAGCGAGCCCGGATTATAAAATACACGTATCTATAAGCACTTTGAGCTGGGCCAACAGTTGAGCCTGCAACTGTTGCTTGACAATTTAAACACACGCACACGCACCCACACACTTATACTAAAAGTAAAATCATGTTGCCATTTCCAGAACCACGTTCCATATTGTTTAGCTGCATCTTTCGTTCATACCTTTACCCCTTGGCGAAATTTAACGAGCTCCTAACTTTATGTTTGCTTGTCATGTACACATTTTGTTTTTATTGGAGACCCACCAACTCGTTGCCTCCCACAAGCCCGAATGCCTTGTTTAAGTGAAACATTTTTTAAAGCCAGCTTGGAGGCGTGCTCGCTGCGCACAGACACACGCGCCATTCAACAGTTTTCGGTTAACGCTAATGCAAAAAAAAATTAAAGAAAAAATATAGCACTACAAAAACAAAAAACATCCGAAATTTTGGTGAATTTTAACAAAAAAATAAAAGAACAAAAAAAGAAAACTTACTCTATACTTATTCATATCAGCTTTATTGTTATAATTATGTCAGTATTAATCAATTTTATTTAAATTTCCATAAATCTTTTAAATTCAGACTAATATCTTTTTATAATATACAATGGTATACATAATATAGACTGGACTGGAACTACGTGAAAAGTTAAAAATCTGGCCGACTTCCATTTTTGATTACATTAATGTCATCTGATGAACTTCTTTTCTGATTAGAGGAACGGATATCCTCATGTCAACTGATCCAATTTTCATTAATGCATACTGCACACGGATGTGTTTGTTGCATTTACTACATTATAAAGCCCATATTAGATTATTAAAAATACCTTATGGTATGTTTACGCACTATGTTTACGCATCGCTCAAAGGTTTTATACTCTTTGTAAGTGTGCACGACAAAAAACACACCAAATATGAATGAGTAATAAGATTGAGATGTTATATATACCATATCCTAAGCCTTGTCAAGCTAATAATAGAAACCCCTAATGGAATCAGCGGAGTCTCTTGCCATGTGTTTCATTTCTCGAGACATAGTTATTGTACTCTTTGTTAGCGTATGGAAAGAACTCCCCAAATACGAATGCGAAAAGGACTGACATGTGCTCTCGAGTTTGCCATTTGTCGTTGTTGTTGTAGTTGTTGTTTTTGTTGACATTGTTTGGTTGGTTGGTTGTTGGCTAAGTACGAGTTTGAGGGGGTCTCCTCGGGCAAATGCAAAAGCCAAATCGAAAGTAAACTTTTTAGCTTGGCTTCTGCTGTTGGGTGAACGCCATTTGCTTATAAATTTAATTTGTCTTAGGCAAAAAGTCTGTCGACTTGTGTTTTGCTTTTGACTTGCGAAGCTCAACATACATTTTTTGCCTAAAATTTATTCTGCATATTTAGTTAATCCGCCAGGTCTGGCAGGAGCCAACTGATAAACTAAGAATTTAAGCGCGCACAGCTAAAGACTATGGCAAAAACCAATTAAAGTCTTTAACACACGCGAATTGCAAGCACTAATTCAGGCGTGGGATGAAATACGTGCTCATAGATGAGAAGCGTATGGAAGTTAAGCGACGTTAATCAAATATTCTCTAGAAATTTGCAAGCAATCTGAGTGTTCACAAGCTAACAAATTGCGGCCAAACAATAATTTGATATATGTATGTAAATACTTACAAGCGAGCTCGTGTAGGCGTGAGACATACATATATGTCTGTAGATGAGTGCAGCTGTGTGAGCACAATGTATGAGTATATTAAACTTACTTTCCACATACCCTC